ACGTCAAGAAGCCCCAAGTGAATAGGCCCTTTTGTTCTAAGCACTGTGTGAATTTATCAAGCTGTCTTCCTCTCTGCTGATAAGACATGACATTTCCTCCAAAACCTGATTTTTAATGTCGCTAAAGGTTCTAGCTGATGGCAGCAAAAAATCAGCCAGCAGCCAGTGTTTTCCATAAGTAATAGCAATACAAAGTTGATATCTATTTTATCAAAAGCAAATCTTCTCTTCATGTTTTTATCATTCTCTCCATCTCTTTCATTCTTTTTGTTGTTCTTCTTTTGAGGAGAGGTTTTGAACAATTTTTATCATCGGATGTGGGTTTTAGTGATTTTCAGATGTGATCTGAAAGTTGAAGAACTCCTCAGTCAGATGATCCAAATAGGGAAGAAAAACTATCGCCCACTGACTTCTCTCCACCCCATCACCTGAATCTTTCTCTTGACCACTCTAAAGCCATCCTGCTGAGAGCAGTGCCCACACTCTGTAGGCACAAATGTGTTGGTAAATCTGATTTGACCACGTGTTCAGAAACTGTAATTCTTCACAGTACACACAGTGCAAAGAGCTGAAAAGGGTAATTCTGAGAGAGTAACTGTTTGCAAGAACAAGACAGACCAAGGGTCAACAAAGAGAACTGAGCTCTCTGCTCAGCAGCATGGATAAACTTCCTCATCTCAGGCAACTGAAGTTATGTGGAGGAGAAGCTGATAATTTGTATTCCCAAGCTCGCTTTAACTGCTGATGATAGCCTGTACAGGTCTTTGGGCTATTATGGGCAAGTGCTGTTAATTTGAGGTTGTAGATGTGCTAATGCTGACTCTCCCATGGTACTACTGACTCTACAAATGCTTAACCCATAGGTGCAGTTGCTCTTATGGAGATTAACAACCAGGTTCAAAGCTACTATTTTGCTTTATCCTTTTCCATTACTCTTTCTCTATGTAATAGCTTTTTTAGTGTCTTTTTAACATGCTATTATAGCAGTCACAGCCACTTTTATTTTTTATTTCCTGACCTAAAGTTAAGCCAGCATTTGTTTCTGAGTCCAGTTGTGAAAGATAAATTTGAGCTTATAACCTTTTCTGCTTGCGCTCTGGTCACATCCTAATTGCAATTACTCTGTCATTAAGAAACGCTTTGCACTCCCCCGCTGTAAGTGCAGAGTCTATTTCCATGTGCCAAATCCGTTAGGAATGTACAGCTGTACAAGCAGACAGCACTTTTGTTACTACTTTTTATCCCCTCTCAAAGCTTGTAAGCAAACCGTATCATAAAAGCTGTTCGGACAACTGCTTGTTTAGACTCACGTCTTTATCTCCAGGTGTCTCTTTTTGACTTGATTGGTTTGAAGCACAAATGATAAATCTAATCTGGCTTCACTGGCTGAGTAAGTATCTGTTCGCACAAGTTGCTCAGAAACACAAAAAGCTTCCCCTTTTCACGACCCGGTGAAATGCTGCTGCAGGAGTGTCAGATACGTGAGCTCGCAGGACTGCCAGACTGCTGTTAACATCTTTAGCAAGACTGTGCTGGACACAAGAGATTTATTCTCTGCTTTTGCACCAGAGATGAAGAAATTCACCCCTTTGAAGCACTTAAATGAATCACAGGCTCCCTGTACAAGGGTGAATTTCACTCCAGCAGAAAGGGGGAAAAACCTTTTCTAACAATATCTCAGCATTTGGTACACCTGGGGAGAAATGAGCATTCAAGAGGCAAACATCCCTCTGCAGAGCAAGTCCTGTGTTCTTCATGGGACACTTTCAGGACACTAGTTACCCCTCTGACACTTTACATGGTACTTAACACCATTTGCCTTAGATAGCCAACATTTAGCTAAGCTAGTTTTGTACTCAGAGGTGCAAGATGGAGCAAGGACCTATTCATTCTACATATCTAAGTCACCTGCTTAGGGGGATCATCTCTCTTTCTCCACTGTCTACATTGAAAGCCTAAATAATTAGCTAAGACTAGGTATCAAGCTTTCAGATGAGAAGCATCCCCCCTTGTATGTACTCTGGCACATCTGTTTGCCTTTGGGTGTGTGTTATATGCACCCTTAAATCCAGAATCAGGAATAAGTATCCCTTGGCCCCTCCAGGTAGAACCATGATAGGTTTGCAAACATTGGGCATTCAGGAAGGTGCAGCACTATGACACATCTTCTTTCCACTGTTTCTCGTGTTTTAACAGGAGGGTTCAGTGAGGCCGTGAGGTCATTTTGATGATGCGGTGGAAGTCAGCAGTCCAGGCTGGCTTTTACTGTAGTGGCATACGTCTGAGCCAGCCCATCCTGACTGCGGCTCTCTGATATAACTATCATCTCATTTAACTCACTTTGTACGCTGACCAAACCCCATCTTGAAACTAGTGGAGGCATATTGTACCTAGTACTTTGTAATGAGAGGCTCTTCCAGAAATCCCCTGTGCTCTTGTTTAACCACATTCTTCTCAGTTTCATTGCAAATTCATTCATGATGATTATTGTCCTCCTGGCAGTGCTGTCTTTTAACTTAAATCCTTCTTTCACTTGGATGTTCACTCTTCCTCTTCTCCATGCAAGCAGTCTTATCCCCTCATAGCCTTTATTTTTCTAGGGTCCCACCTATCAAGAGTAAACTCCATTATTTTATATCAAAACAAATCATTGATTCAAAATCAAAAGAAAGAAACCTATTGTGGCACTCTTCTCACTTCACTATAACTTTACTATCAACATCTGCATCTACTTGTCTTACGTGTCAGATCAAGCAGCACAGATCACACACAGTTGAGAAAGCAACCAAAGAAAGAGATCCTCAGGTCTGTTTTGCCCAATCTGCATCTTCTAGAAGGGCTCTGATAGAAAAGACGCATTTCCAGCTTCGGGAGTACCCTGACAAGGCATCAAAGAGGAACAATTGCCAAACTGTTTTCCAAGTTGATACTCACAAACCTGAAATGGGTGTGTTTCATGATCAAAGCTGGTGATGAGAAGGAATCATTAGGTGCCAGACCACCACACTGCAGTTTCTAAATAGTACAGATACAGACTATGGATCTGTCTAAGCCTCTGAAGGCCCACCCAGAAATGGGAGGGTTGAAACCATCCCAGAGAAGGAGTGCAGATCCCTTCTTCCCATGTCCTCCTTATGAACTCTTGTATGTTTTAACTATCAGACCATGATTCCTGTTCATCTAGGACACCTATTACTGACAGTGTGTGGTTTAGGTGGGAAATATCTCTGCTACTAGAGCTCATCAGTTCATTTGAGCACCTATTAGACAGCACGTTGCAGCTGGTCTGAAGTGGGGTTGAGGAGTGTGTGTTCCTCATGTTTTGAGGAAGACTTCACGCTGCACCTGAAGACAGGCCCCGAGTTTTGAAAGAAATGGAGAAAAGTGGTGGCTGTGCACCTTTGGACAATTTGTTTCAATACCGTCTTCCCTTCAATCCCAGTGGTGATTATAGACAGATCCAGGATGGCTTTGATCTACCTTAGGTGCTGATAGCTGAGAAGATCTGTCAGCATGGGTTTCCCACAGGCTGTGCAAGCTCATTCCAGGCCTTACACAGTTGCCATGGTAGCTGATCCATGTTGAGGTCTACTCTAGAACAGCATCACTGCTATTAATACCCAAGCTTTGACCTGCCAGTGGTAAAATGGGGATAAGAGCGCTCCTTTACTTTTGAGGGATGTACTGAAGTACATTAAAGATTGGAAAACATTCAGAGTAAGATATCGATATTGTCTAAATTTAGCTAAATTTATAATCCAGACGTCTAAAGCAGAGCTAATTGTCTAGACTCACTTTATAACTAACAAAAGGAAATAGGTATTTTTCATCTGACCGCAGTTTCTGGCCTACTTTGGACGTCTGCTTTAGGAGGAGATGAATCATACCCTTTGACCATGCTGACTGGTTCTCTCTTAGTAAGGAACAGAATTATGGGTCAGTAGCTGAGGTATAATGTCTACATTATATTATTTATAACCCTACCTTCAAAACAAATGTGGTTTAGGCCAAGGAGGCCCTGGCTTGATATAGAGGTTGTGTGTAAAAATGCTCTTTTTTCGAAGTTGACTGGATTTCAGGTTGGCAGCAGAATATAAACATCCTTTCCAAATGTCATGAGTACAATTTCTCATTGACTGTCCAAGAAGCTGGGCCCAGATTCATTTCGCCTGATTTTGTAGGCTTGCCTAGCTGCCTGGGTTAGGGGTCTGAGCTGCTCTCATCTCTGCAGTAAGCAGAGACCAACAAGAATATCCAGAAATTGGTCAAAATGTTTCATTTCAGCTTCTGATTTTGAGTCTTCTATGCCAATGGTTTGACAGGAATTGATTATAGTCTATATTAGGAGTATCTCAAGCTTTCCTTTCCATTGTTTTTGAGGCTAGGGTTCCTGTCATCTGTCTTCCTTTTGCTTATTTATAGACCTTATTTTTCAGGGTCTCTCTTTGGTTCATGCAACAAAATATACACTTAAAGTTCAAGATTCACCTGGCCTATTTGTAAGCATCTGCTTGAAGATGACCTTCTGTTGACTGTAGAGTAGCCCTCCACTGCATATACAAGATGGTCACAGGGGTTAGGTCAGGTGTGTCTGTTGTAGGCACCAATGTTTAGTTTGATGATCTGTGATTCCCCTTCATATACAAGGGAAGCAGGGGCAACTACAGGTCCTGTGATAGGTCTCTTGAAGACCTCCATCATGTGCATCCATCTTGAGAGCTTGATTCAATTGCATAAGCTTAGGCATTTATTGCCATTTGAAATGCTCTGGGGAATTTAAGACATACATGAGATGTGTGGAACCCATGCTTTTCCCAGAATGCAGTACCCAGGATAATATTAAGTGAACTGGATGCCCATGTTTAGGCAGCTGAATCAAGCCCTTCGTGTTTCACTGGCCTGACACGTATCATCATTTGTCTCAGAGCTGTCTAGAGTCCCTTTACAGAGGACACCTGGGTATTCTAAGTGTTCCTGACCTTTCATTTTTTTTTCACCAGGTCCGTTCTGCTGCCAGGAAAAGATGGCACCGCTGGCAAGACCATCACTCGCTCCGAGTGCGTGTGGCACGTGCTATGTCTATCCCCACCTCTCCGACACGAATCAGCTTCCATAGCATCAAACAGACCGCAGCCGTGTGATATGCCCCACACATACACACGCTACCTGGTGGCCTTCAGGGTTCTTCTCTCTTCACTCTTCCCAAGCCCCTTTCTTCAAACTTTCTTCCTTTGTTCTGCACTGCTCTCTTTTGCAATGAGGTGCCCATCGTATTTTCGTGGACTCTCATCTCCCATATTCATGATGCTGCTTTAAGGCAACCAGGCAAAAGCATCTTGGAGTAGGTGGTGGCGAAACAGATTCAAAGAAGAAAGAGATTTGACACTGACTGCACCTTGTGGAAGTTCACAACACAACGTCTGAAACAGCACACTGGCAGGAACAATCAATTTTTTTCTCCTTCCTTTTTTTTTGTGTTTCCCTTCTGTATTGTGGTGAACAAAGACTGTTTTTAATATACTGTCCATCTCACCCTGTACATTGATTCCCAATGATTTCAACAGTTTGGTGTGTAGATAGCCCGTCTCTTTCTTGTTTCTTTGTAAAAATCTCTTCTCTGCAGAACTGTCATTTGAGAACGTGTGGCAGCAAGAAAAAGAGAGTCTGAAGGTGTGAAAAATCCGAATTTATTTACCTTCCTCGTTTCTCCCTTTGATAAACTGGGAGTTGGCCAGGGCATCACTGGACTGTTTAACACAGGGCACTTGGCCTTGCAAGAACCGTGCCCTGTTCATACAGAAGATGTTGAAAAGGACAGCAGTATCTCTAGATAGCTCTATAAAACACCCTTATTCCTCTTAGCCCCACGCTTCCAACACAATGTAAGTAGCCTTTGGAAAGTCTTTGGGGTTTTTTTCAGCTAAGAGGATTGGGGTGGGGAAGGACAACAGAACATGTTTTCTGGGTTTAAAAATATTAAAAGGAAGCACTGTAAAAATAATAATGAGAAGAGGATGTTTGCATTATGAGGATAGTGCTACATGCTGCACAAAGATTATCTATTGAGCATTTTGAACTAGAGCAGATGTATCTGCTAGGCTTTTTATGTGATGTTCAAAAATACTGTATATTTTCAATAATAAACACTACTCTGGGTTGGTTTCAATAAAACCAGGCATCATTTTCTTTACTTTAGAAAGGAAGTGAGCACCTATCTTGAGAGTGGTTTTGTATCTAAGATCAGGGAAAGAAACTCTGTTTGATAATGAGCCAACAGAAGAACACTCTCATGATAAAATCTGAGCAAGAGGGCATTAAATGCAAGATGAATTGTCTCCCTTCTCGGCCCATGGTGCTACACTGGATCCCTGTTCCTCTGCAGTCCCCTTCCCTCCTTTGGGCTTTGCAACAGCAGAAAGAAAAGAGCAAGTTGTGTTAATATACTTTCCATCACCTATGTCTCACCAGTGCTGGAGTAATTTTCTCTTTCCACTTTAGCATGCATATTCTAAATTTTCTTCACATGTTTTAGGGGACTTTCCAGCACAAGCTGGATTTAAATCTCCAGATTTAAATTGGTCTCTCTCTAGTTTTCAGGATGACACAGGCTTGGAAAATGTCTTGGAAGACGCTGATGTTAATCCCCCTGCTTTTGGAGGCATCCTGTCCTAACAGGTCGATCACATTGACAATGCACAGCAAATTTAAACTAACAAATTAAAATTTTCTAACTTTTCTGCCTCCTAACTCTGATTTGGATTCCTGTGCCTCAATGAGATAACTGAGGGAGGAAGGAGAAGGGAGATTTGAGACTCTGTCTAGTTAGACCTATCATCTCTGCCAAAGAGGAGGAGCAGGGAAGTCTTGCCTCAATGAGATAACTGAGGAAGGAGGGAGATGTGAGACTCTGTCTAGTTAGACCTACCATCTCTGCCAAAGAGGAGGAGCAGGGAAGTCTTCACATAGCCTTCCATGTGGTGTGCCAACTAGCGGGATAGATCCCAGGGCAGCACGTACAAGTAAGACTGGAAGTGTGCCTGCCTATGCCACTCACTGCTGTCAATGCCTTGATTTCTGCAAAGGGATGCAAACCATCTTCATGGTTAGCTGCGAAACAAAAGCATCTGATGAGAGAGGGCTGTGTCAATGTTTTTATTCGTTGCGTGCATCACAATAGCGATGCAGAGCCTCCTGGCATTTTGCATTTGAAGGGACAGATACAGCTGCAGGTTAGAAATATGTGGATTGAGCACCTCTCTCTTTGTTCTGTCTCCAGGCCAGTCTGGGATGAAAAAGGGATTTGCAATGCAGCAGATACTGTCAGAAATTGCAGGTTGTTGTTGCTACCAGGAGTGTGTTTTCACAAAAAAGAAAGAAAAGCCTTTTTCCAGTTAGTATTTGTCCAAAGCAGAGATTTTCAGTCCTTCCCGCATCGGACTGTGTTTCAGGGCATCATGGTGGACATACAGCGTTAATGGGATACTTTATGTTAATTTTGAAGTGATTGCCATGCTAACACATGCACTACCTCTGCTTGTTTTGCCATGGAAGCTTTCCGAAGTCTGTCATGCCTGAGGTACTGACAGCCACGGCCTTTTCTCTGGAGCACTGTGATGAAAATCAAGCTGGAATTTCTACTGACAGCCTTGTAAGAGCAAGATTTCAGACCATCCCCAGAAAAGCAATAAAAAATTATTTTGAGGGTGGCTTTTTTTTGGTCTTCTCAGAGAGCGCAGAGGAGAGGAGAACAATGGAGATAGATAGGTGTGTAACCCTGAACACAGCGTCTCTGGGGGGTCATAAAGGCCAGGATTTGAGAAGAAAAGGCAGGGTCTAAGTTTGATCAGGCAAAGTCCTAGGAGATGACTGCTCAGTGGCAGCTAGTGGAAAGAATATCATTGACACCAGCTGAGGGTTGAGTTTGGATACACGGGGCTCGATCCAAAGCTCTTCACTTTATATACAGTGACCTCTAGCTTTTCTGCACGTGGCTGCCCTGTAGACAACCTTTGACTAGTTTGTAGGCTGCCTAACCTTTCAGTGGGTACCAAACCCTCCTGGTAGGCAACAAGAAGTGGAGTCTCTGTGTGCTGGAGCTCAAGTTCTAGTTCCTCTGGAGCCATAACCTGAGGCACATGATCTGTGAGCTCTCTGCATTTGCAAGGTCATCACCATCAGTCTGTTTTCTAGGCGTACGTTTCAAGTTTCTGGAAGGACTCTATGGCAATTTCTATTTTTCCCTGTCTTCCACATATACGTTTCAAGTTTCTGGAAGGACTCTAACTGGTGTCAGGCCCTCTCAGTATCCCTTTCTGATTCCCAGTAAAGTGGCAATTTCTATTTTTCCCTGTCTTCCACATCAAGGACCAGGCAGATCATGGGGCTATCAAGATCTCCTGATGAAAGCTGTCATAGAAACAGAGAATGGAAAGTAGTTTCCATGGAAATAGTGCTTTGAAGGCTGTTTCTTTTTCCCCCAATCTGTCAACTGATCAATATCATCCTATTGCTTCCTGAAGTTCACCTGTCTGCTTGTATCCTTCATATGGTTTTATTAGGTGCAGTAAGATCCTACTCAATACCATAACTATGAGTCAGCATAGCCCATGTTAGCTGTGAAACCAACTTGCCTTTCATATTTTGGTCTTGAAGACCTGGGATTCATCCTGAGTTTTCCTCACTGCTGTGGACATGCAGCCAGCTCCAAAGTACTAGCTCAATAAAGCAGCACAGCAACACTTTCACTGGTCTGTTTTCTTTCCCCCTATAGTGGGGTATTTTCTTTTTCTTCACAGAGACAAAACACAACTTTGTGGGCACAGCTGCATCTGCCCTTGGAGTGCTTAGCCAGAGTGACTCACTATTATCCTGGTGCTGTGAAGCTCTTCCTTTGTCCAAGGAGGCTTCCTTAGAACTGTAGGAAATAGTCATGTGTGTCTCCATGACACCTGGCACCATATAGTTCTCATCCACAACTGGAGTCTCAGGGGCAGTATGAAGAATGAGGGTGATTGTCACTGGAAGGAAGGACTTGTCCTTTTCAACTCTCCAAGTTCTGACCCATAGGAGTTTGGAAGATGTTCCCAGTTCACTTGACTGATAGCAGTGATGATACTCTAGTCTCTGCTGTTCTGCATAGTCCTACTGGTGGAGAACTGACTTCTGCCATCAACAACACTTGGCACATCCAAGCTGGGATGACAAAAGGTTCATAGCTTCTGATGCCATCCCAAGGCATGGTGTGGAATCAAGTCATGGGGCTTCTCAGAACTGACTTTGTTTGAATTAAACTGTTTGGAAGTCGTCAGGAGAAAAATAAGCAAGAGCTTCCCTTTTCCCTGGGTAGCCTTTGATAAATATGCTGTCTGAGCTGGGGGTGAGACAAGCATTTCTAAACTTGCATTGGCACATGCATGTAAGCCTATGGCTGCCTGGGAACCTAAGTCACCCTTCAGGGATCATTCAAGCTCAGAAACCAAAACCCTGGCTGGACCAGAGAGCTGGAACAGGAGCATACAGGGAAGCACTGGCCTAGGTTCACTTCTGGGCCGAGGTTCTTGGGTTTCTACAGGAAGAAGCTCCCATCTCTAATGGAAAATTTGCCAGTCAAACCTGGCTTCTTATCTCGCTACACCTTCACGGAACTGGAGTCAAGTCTCTGAGACAATTGTCCCCTCCCTGCCTTCCTCATCAGCCCTGTCTCCCAGCAGTGTTTGTCCTCCAATGGCTCTGTCCATTTCCAAGGACCAGGGGAGCTGTGAGTGATTTTCATACTGTCTTTTAAAAGTGACTTTATGATTTGATGATTATTCGGGATACCTGTGAGCAGAGCTACTGAGATGATCCACAGATGTCCTGGACAGCAAAGGGGAGTCCCTTGGCCACACCTGCCCTCTCAGGAAGGTGAAACCAACCGGTGTTGCTCACCAGCCTGGGCTGCGGCTCCAAGGATGCCGTTGCATCTTCCCCAGCCAGGAGGAAATGGCCAGCCTTTTGTAGGCAGGGCCTAAACCTTAGTTAATTAGTTAATTACTCAATTCAAGCCAGCTGGACCATAACAGGATACCATAATTCCCCCTTTTTGTTTTACTTTTTTTGGTTTTAGAGGAAAGTGAAGGCTTTACAGTGAGCAGAGACCCAGTCCATTCATTCCAACTCCAGCACGCTTCCCTCCCACAAATATCACATCAGGGCTTGCAGCTTCACCTTCTTCACCAAAGGATTCTCGCTCCAGCTCTTTTGGCTCTGGCTCTCAGCTCAGGCTCAGGCAAGGGAGTCGGGGTCACAGTCTTCAGGGTCTCTCATGTTCATATCATGTCAAGGTCACCAGTTGTTGCTCACCAGCCTAGGCTGCAGCTCCAAGTTTGCCATTGCATCTTCCACAGCCAGGAGGAAATGGCCCGCCTTTTGTAGGCAGGGTCTAAACCTTAGTTAATTAGTTAATTATATTAAATTCAAGCCAGCTGGGTAATAATAATTGGATGCCATAAACCAGCTGAGGAGCAACCCTGTAGAAAAGCACCCAGGGACCTTGGTGGATGCTGAAAAGGACCTAAGCCAGCCATGTGACCTGGCAGCAAAGGTGGCTAACAGCACTCTGGGCTGTTTTGAGGGAAGTGATT